ATGTCAAACTTTTGACTTAGATAATTAGCTTAGGTAGTTTATACTTCTGATTAAGGCAATCAGTTTATAGTCTCTTCTTCCCACTAAGGTGGAAGGCTTAACAGAGGTTTGCCACTGGGTTCAGCCAAACTATTGAAATGAAAATGTTCTCTTGTTACAGAAGACATTTTTTGGAGGAAGAGATTAAAGGAGAGGCTTGTTTCTTACACAGATTTATTTATTTTTTTCTTCCTATTCATTAAAGAATTTCTTCTTGGGAATAAACAATTAAATGCTAAAGTAAAATACCCAACAATTTCATGTTGAAATCAACAATATCATGTTTACACTTACTTGATACCTGTTATTTGCTAATACATGCCTATCTATTGTAAAAACGCGTTCCAGATGAAATTTAATTCAAAGATAGATATCGCGTAAAGATACTTCCCAAAGCACGTACTATAGCTCATACTACTGTTATTAGCAACCCTTAAACAGGTAAAGCAGTCATAAGCCTACTTTAACACTTGTGTATCCTGATATTTTCAGGCCTTCATAGCAAAGCAGCTTTTATAAATAATTGCTAGTTGTGTATGCCAATCATATGTAGCATTAGAAAACTCAGTTCTTTTCCTATGACAGTATGAGGGAGTTAGACTAAGACTAAAGAAACTGAATAGATAAGACCCGCTGTAAGGTCTCTGCATGGAATGCTGGTTAACCTGTACTGCTGTACCTGCTACAGTTGATTTGGTTATTGTTCAGATAAGTTTGGTGCTTTTGATGAAATCTTATCTTTTCTTTTTCTTGCCTTTTTTTTTAAATCACTGTGGGTTTTTTCCTGTTTGGCAAGGAAGGAGAAAAGTATCTTGTAGTTTGCATCAGTTCCACATGTACCTTGAAATTATTTTATCAAATCTGTATTTTGCCCAGTTTGCTTAGAAGAATGTTATGTAGGCTGTAGTATGTCTTAGATATATCACAATTCTGCTCTATCAGCAAGACCTGCTACTCTGACGCAGAGAAAAGCTAAGCAAGTTTGTTCTGCTTTGGTATTGGTGTCTGCACGCTTGATGCTGGATGCTACCATATGTTCTCAGTGTAACTTGTTGTTTCTTGAAATTAAAGTTGGGCTGGCTACTGTTTAATTTCCTGGCTTCTACTCTCCTCCTCCTCCTCCTCCTCCTTCTCCTCCGCCTCTTAAGATGGGCATCGTTTCGCCCACTTTCAGTTTTATGGGACTTCACCTGTTCTCCATGGGTACTCAAAGGGAATCTCTGACAACAAAGATTGTCTTGCAGATTTTCTTAAATTACTGGAAGGGTTAACTTTAGCAAGTCCTATCCGTTGCAAAACATCTGATTTCTTTAAATAGTCTGTAGCCTTTTTTCCTGTTCCAGCCTGAATGTTTTGCCCCTTTATTGCTGCTTTCAGTCATTTGATCATTTCTGTTAATCAAGGCTGGAGTAAAAAACACATGCATCACTGAAACCCTTTCAGAATGATCTTGTGCTTTTCTTGGGGATTTGCACTGGCTGTTTCCTTGGGCTTCCTTTTTGCTATCAACATACTTTTGCAATGCCTCCTTTTTAGAACAAGTCAGGAGAATGAAACGCTCATACTGTCTTTGGCCAGTATATTTGAACCAGAGTTTGACTCCCTGGTTGAACCCAAGCAATGTTTTTAAGTTAGCCAGTTGTCTCATGTTCATTTTGTGTCTTCAGGTGCAACACAATTTCAGCATTTTAAAGGTTCACAAGATACTTACCTTCATGGCAAGCAAATAGGTAGAAAAAAAGTTGTTTAAAATGTATCTCAATACTAAAGACACAGGCAACTTTGAATTGTGATAAAAACAAAATTAAGTCTTTATAATATTTGTTTTTGCATAATTTGTAATTAGTCTTTGAAAGAAACAAAGGTGCTTAAATCTTTACCACTGATACTCTTCCCCCAGCTCTGTGGCTCACTGGCTCTCCTAAGAATAGAGAATTGGTGGTCTTTTGGTTTGTTTTCTTTGAGAATGACATGAACTGAAAAAGAAAAAGAGAAGGGAGATAAAGAATGGATTTTGATAGTTAATCAATGGTGTCTTTGGCTCAGTTAATAGTTTTAAAGAATTGACCGTTATGCCTAGATGATTAGATCTTACTGCCTGTGTGCACTATACTTGTGGATGTGCTAGGTAGGTATCTTCAGAGGTGCCTGAAAGACATGGATTTTAGCAAAAATGCAGGCCTTTTGGCTTGCCTATCCATTCTGATAGACTCAGCAGAATGCAAACTTCATGGTATTGTGAAATGTCTGGCCAGTTTAATTGCAAATTTGTCTGGCTGAATGTGAACACAGATCAGAGCAAAGAAAATTCATTTTTCAAATAACATAGTGATGTGGCTAGCCTTTATAATCGTTCCCATGCTCAGTGCAACTGTATCTGATAGCATTTACCTTAAGCTTCTTTTAGAAGTTTTATCTTGATTGATCTATTTCTGTGAGATCTTTTAGTACTACAAATGATATGTTGATGGTATTGCTCAGTCAGCAGTCTTTGTTTTTAATGTCAGAGTTTCTGTGGGGATCTTCAACGCTCCCTGCTTTATCTGCTTTCTGCTTCTGTAACCTATTACAAATTTTTTTTTTAGAAGTCTGAAGGTACTTTCCTCACCCTTAATAGTGAGAACTCCGCTTTCCCGGTCTGCACTTTTTTCCATCTGCTGTAGCCCATATTTGTTTGTGTTTTGATGTCTTTGGGAGACGCAGAACTAGAAGAGCCTTTCTGAGTTAGCAAATCCAGCTCCCCGTTTCCTTGGGCTGTCACATCACAGGAGGCAACTGTCAATTAAAATCCAAGACGGTTAAAGTGAAACTTGTGATCTTTTTGTCTCTCCACACCTCAAACCATTTTTAGCAGCTTGGACACTATTATCTTCCTGGTTGTCTTAAATTCTTAATGTTACTTTTGGCTCGGCTTTCATCCAAGCAGTAAACACATTCTTGTGCTGCTTTGTGTATAGCAACAAAGTTTTTGATCTCCTCTTTCTGTATCACTTAAATTCTCACCAAGTCCTTACACATTTTGACATAATCAGTTTTCCCCTATCCTGCCTTTAATTCCTACAATATAACCACAATGGGTCTGTCAGATGTTTTGCTACCAGAGTAACCTCTCAGTTGTTTTTCCCTTTTTCACCTGATCATCTGTGCAGTATCTTTTCTCTTGGCTTTTCAAGATCTACAATGCATATTCTTCTTGTCTCAATCCTCATATTTAGAATGAGTAAGACCACCACTTAGTTCCATCAGTGTTTCTAGTGCTCACTGCTCTCCTTTTCTTCTTGGGCAAAACTGTCTGAAAAATGCATGCGTAGCAATTACTCTATTTCGTGTCACTCCTCACAGTTGTTCTCTGCTGTGAAGCCTAGAAGAAACTCCTGGTGACTGCTGTGCTCAGCTTGAGTCTATTTTTCTTCCTTCTGCTCCTGATTCTTCAGTTACTTCACTGCAATTTCCTCTCAATTTATTTCTACCTCCAAAAAAACCCCCCAAAAACCCAAAACCAAACTGCAAAGCTGCTTTATTTATTATCATGTTTTTGGCGTCATCTTTGTCCAGTTGTACAGCAATCTGAGAATTACGCTGACTTGTCTTTTGAGACCATCCATAAATGTCACGTTTAAGCATTACTGTTGTCATATTGGTTGTGTGTTCATACGTTGCTTTACAGCACACATGTTGTGCACCTGATCTTGCTTTTGAAGAAATTATTTTTACCACTACTTTGTCAGCTGTGTTATTGCTCAAATTTATTTTCATTCTGTACAAACAGACTGATTTGTTATAGCACCTGTCTGGCTACAGAGTTTCTATCCCAGGGTTATGGAAGGCTCTTACTTAGGCATGATATGGCACTGATTTCTTACCTTCTTTATCTGATCAGGGTTCTATATCACCTTTGTTTTGTAGCATTTCTCATATTTTTGTAGCCTTTGTGTAAGCAGTAAGCATGGTATGAGTAATTAATCTAAAGCCAGAACTACAATTATGATTTCATGTCCTGATACGGTTTTGGCAAATAGCTAAGCTTCAGAGGATGTCCATTTATATATCTACTTAGACCAATATGACAGCTCTGGGAATTTCTTCCTTCTGTGATTCCTCTTCTAGCTGTAACTTGTACTTACATTCCTCAAATGTAGAGGTGGGGTTTCCCCCTCCTTTTTCCCCCCTCCTTTCTTTCCTTTTCTTCTCTTTTTCTTTTTTTTCTCTCCTCTCTCTCCCCTGTGTTGTCTTGTATTATCTTGTGTTGTCTTTTTCTGTTTTTTTGTTGTGGTTTTTTTTCCCCAGTTTTCTTCTCATTTTGTTTTGTTTTGGTTTTTTTTTGGGGGGGGGGCGGGGGAAGGGTGTCTGTTGTTTTTCTCCTGGGTTGTTTTTTTTTATTTTTAATTTTGCAACAGGGCACTGGTGTAACCTGTTTCTTATTACAGATTCTTTTCCTGTGCTGTGAATATTTCCTTGCTTCCTACAATTGAGATGTCTACAGGATAGAGGTTTTCATGGAATGATAACTTGTTTAAAAACATCATTTGTATTTTACCTAAGTTAGCTGCAGCTCACATAAACAGTAAAGCCCATGCATAAGTAATATTCCTTTGATTTGTCTCCTTATTTGGTTGCTGTCAGATTGAAGATACTCTCTCCATGGGTGTGAAGTCAGTCTCCCAGTAGGCAGTTGGGCTAAAGCCTGTATGGGCGTTAAGGTGTAGTAAGAAGTTTGTTCTCTGGCTTCCCCCCCGCCCCTGCGAGATAAATACTGATCTACATGATGTGATTTTTTCACCTGTTTGAACGCCACACTCTTCAAATAGTAAACTCCATGATTGTCTTTTGATTCAGGCTTGATTTATACTACACCTTAGAATTAGAAACATTCCTTAATCTTACCTGTCATCTGAAACTGCTTAGCTGGAGCCATTCTTGCTGTTTTTGTGTTTTTTCAGTTGTTTAATTCTTTGTTTTAGGAGGTCTCTGCTGACCCAACAGGAACTCTCACAGCTGCTGAAGAGAGAAAGGAGAAGGTGCCAAGCCCACATCTCAGTCATCTCGTAGTTTTGACATCTGGCAATTCGCTATATGGTTTGGCAGAGAGAGTGGTGGCCACGGAATCACTGTAGGTTATTTACTGTATACTGCATTTTGTGGTTACTGGAAGCTATGGATTGTTTAAGAGATTGTGATTACAAGCCAAAACCTTCTTGAGAGGTCAAAAATTCCTACCTCTCAATGTGATTTTAAATATGAGTGATAGAGGTAGTTTCTTAATTAAAGGTAGCGTGGCCTAACCATCTGGTCTAACCACCTGCAAGCACAAGCAATGAAATTTTACTACTGCTGGTCCAGTAACTTGTGACAGTACAAGGCCAAATCTAACAGGACAAAAGTTTAATTTTAAAGAGGCTAATGGGAGTATTTAATCTGTATGGTTCATTTAAACCTTATATTAAGTACTCAAATGGTGATGGCTGAGACTGAAAACTGCTTAGTTCATATTGGTTTGGCCTGGATTGCAATGTTCTTTGCAACGGGTGGAAGGTTACCTGTGAAGAAGAGATTATAATGAGCAAGTAATGCAAAACTTACAAAGTGTTTTTTATTTGGTCAGAATAATAGTGAAAGTCAGATAGGAATTTCCCCACACACACACACGCAAGATGACACTTAAAGGTTAAAAGTTCATTGGAAAATGAATTTTGAAAATGTATTTTCAAAGGAGCTTATTTTCTTTTGCGTTCATTTATGCTTAGTTAGAAATGTATTTCTTTGTTATGTTGTTATTAACAAATCCTACCCCTGAGAAAGAATGTGATCTCATATTCTATCCTGTAAAGATTCACTAGTATATAAGTAATTAGAAATGTTATTTTGGAATTCTGACATTCTGGATTTAATATTAATGTTGACTGCAGTATGGAAATTACAGACACTTGTCCACTGACTTTACTAGACTTTGGATCAGACTTTTGCAGTGTATCCCGAGTAGAACAGAAATATGAATTGTTGATATTCAAGCCTTAGTCTCTTTATTCAAGCATTTTCTTGTTTGCAATCATATTTTAAAATTATCAGATTTGAGAATACTGAATGATACGCTGGCATGAAACTGATATCGTTCTTCTCAGGACTAAATTTTCCAAGGTTACATATCGTTATTGCCAAATACATCAACTGTAGAGTGAAAGTTGCACAGAGACATGCCAAATGTTGCATTTAGTTCACAGTAAATTTTCTTTGCTTTCAAAGGGTATTTCTGGCTGAGCAGTTTGAGTTTCTTCAGCCTTATCTGGATGCAGTGATGCCAGCTGCCAAGAAGCCTTTTCTTCAGCAGTTCTATTCTCAGGTCAGAATTGTGTAATTCACAGCCGATTTTTAAACAAAAGATTTGAAACTTGTACAATATAGTGCAAATACTTGTACATCATAGTTATATATTGCTGTTATTAGCCAGAAATTTACTGAATTGAATTTTATTTATATTCTGTTTCAGACAGTGTCAACTGCCAGTGAACTACGTAAACCAGTTTATTGGATTGTTGCTGCTAAAGCCATTGATTATGAACAAATGCTGCTTCTCATGGCTAATGTGAAATGGGATGTGAAGGAAATCATGTCACAACACAATATATATGTAGATGCTCTTTTAAAGGTGAATACATTCTGGGAAACGGTTGCTAGAGTTTATATAAACATTAAATTACTGTAATACTTCACTAAAACTGTTAAAGTCGCATGGTTAGAGCAATACAGCATCCTGACAAATGGTAAGTTATTATAAGGAGGTCTGTCCAGAATTTTCATTATTCTTGCTGCTAGCAGATTGTTTTCAGTGATGATTATTTGACTACATGGTGGGTGAAAGTGATCACAAAAGTTTAATGAGTTTCATGTCTAAGTCTTGGATGGTAGATAAATGTGTAGTAAACAGAGTAACATTGAGGAAAATCTCAGTGGCCTGAGATAGTGGGTTTTTTAACAAAGGCTGTTTGCTGTTCTGCATAATTTTAGTGGTTGTCTTTGAGATGTATTGTAGGGGCTATAGGTCAAACCAGCACCGATAATGATTGTGCACTATCTAATTGAAGTTGCTGTATTTAGAAGTTAGCATTCGAAAAGGAAGGTAAAAGGGAAGTTATTCACCCAACTTTTCAACTGCATTCAGTAGAATGGTTATACAATTGCTGTGTCTTGTGGCATACAGAACCAGTTCTTGGGAGAATCCCTCTATCATCCTTTTTATATATGCCTAAATTATGTTTCTAAAGGTCTTTAGAAGGAAGTTCTGGGAGTGGTAGAATTATACTAATTCTTACAGAGAAACTGAAAATTTTATTTTAAAGATACGTGAGGTATGTATCACAGAAAAAGTTATGCATCTGTGTTGAATAATAGTTTTGATTACACCTTTGTACTTTGTAGCTGTTCTCTGCTTAAAAAAAAAAAAAAACAACACAAAGAAGGGAGAATCTGATAGAGGATGTATCACTGCACTGAATTTGACTGAATCTTTGTGATTACCCTTCTTTATGCTGCCATGGCTTTTTGAAATCAGTTTGTACTTACAACATTTGGTCTCTGCAGTAGAACTTTTTCCTTTTCTGAGTGTGCAGCTTCTGATGAATTTGCTTCAGGACAATAAGGGCTAATACCATTTAAAACCATTTCTGGCGTCTACATTATATAGCTAATAATAGTTGCTACAGAAGCTTTTAGATTACTGCTAAGCAATTAATGATTTGCTGTGTACCTTTGGACTCCAGGAGTGTCAGATATAAACACAATGTTTGATGTAATAACCAATTACTTTTAGCCGTCTGCACACATATGCAAAATTCTATACTCAGCCATAGTATGTATGGAAGCAGATAAATTGGGGAAAGAGGATCATTCAAGAAATTCATTAACATGGAGTGTTAGGGGTCTTCATCTTCAGAAGAGTGAGTTGTGTGCCGATTAAAGCATGACATTGTGGTACCCTGCTTCCTCTTGCCAAGTTCCTCTTTCAGAAAATTTGTGTTAAACACCAATTATTTGGTCAGATACTAGGTTAAATTGGTTACTGAGATTCCCTTTTTCTTCACTTACTGCATTTTTCTTCACTTACTGCATTTTTGATGGGAGGAAAAAAGGGAGAAAAAAGAAGGGAAAAAAAGAGGAAAGAACCACTAGATTAACAGCTGTGGAATGAAAGCACTTTGTTGGACAAGTATGGTCTTAATAGGCTGCAGTACAAACTGCTTTGCTGGTTACACAGAGCAGTTCATTATCAGTCTGCTTTGTATTTAAGTCGTTTGATACTTATTTAAAATGATACAGGCATTAGTCACTGGCAGCAGACTTCTATTTCACTTTATGGAAGTCACAAAATCATTATAGCAGTAATTATGTTCAGTTATGACTAGTTTGTCACTCATAGTAACAGCTCAAATCTATCCAGGCCATTGATGTTTCAGGTGGAAAAAGGTGCCTTCCCTCAACCTGAGTTGTTACCTAGTGTTGCAGTATGCTCCTAAACTGTTAGTTTTGGACTCTTCTCAGTGGGTCTCCTTTTAAAGCACCAGGGAACTACCTAATGCGAAAGGTAGAAGAACGAGAAGTGGTTACAATATTTCTGAGCTTTTCTTTGAAAGCTGATGGGGTGGGTATTTAGAGGGATAGAGAGATCATCACTGGATTTTCTTCAGTGACTGTATATTGGCTTTAAAAAGGTTGAAGATGAGTTTAGGGAGTGAGGCAATGAAAATGGCATTTAAAGGATTAGCTACCTGGTTAATTTTCAGAGGTGTCAGTTTCACAGAGAACTATACCTCTGGGCAACAGAGCAGTATTTCCTTTTTTAAAAAATATTACTGAGGTAATGTTGTGAATGATATACTAGAAAGTGTATGCTTTCTACTTTACACATTGAGCTTGTCTCTACAGTCTGTGCCTTTTAAGCTTCTCTGCTTTGCTCTTATTTTTCAATATTGTCTTTCATGTGCATTTATAATTCTTTGTTGTTGCTAGGGATGTATAGAGTATGATCTCTTTTATGCTAAAGGAATAATGATCTTTCATGTTTCATCAGGAATTTGAAGAGTTTAACAGAAGGTTGAACGAGGTGTCTAAGAGAGTCCGTATTCCACTGCCAGTCTCCAACATCCTTTGGGAGCACTGCATACGCTTGGCCAATAGAACTCTCGTGGAAGGGTAAGTAGTTCATGAAAGTCTTGCTTTTGGGTAAATATGTCTATAATGATAACGTCTGTTCTACGGAATTAAAAGTTCTAATTTTGTAGCGCACTAGTAAGCCCTTGTGCTTTTGGGGAGCCTAAAAAATACCAAGGCTTAACATAGTCCTTAGCAGTTGTTTCACAGAGTATGGTACAGCATTAAGCCTAAAGGGGATGGTCTTGTACCTAGATACTGCTGAAGAATGACATTGTCTGAGTGTTTTACTGAAGCATTTGAAAGAACATAGTTCTCTTTTAAAGAAACTTCTATCTGAAAATTATCATTTCCTGACAGAGCAAAGAAGAGAGGTGAAGTGTAATTGTCAGCATCTCTATGGTGATGCCATTTGTCTTTGCCAGGAAGAAAGATGGAGTTGTCAACCCTAGCAGTTATCTTAGAGTAGCCATGGAGCAGGATTTTTCCAAATTCATGAGGAACCGATGTGTCTTAGTTGGCTTGGTAAATAGAAGCTCAAGCACCTTAGTCAGGAACTGCTACACTTTGCTCATTCTTCCCTCTTAATCAGTGTCCCAGCCTTTTCAGAGTCCATATTGTAGCCTGAGTATTGTAGTCTCTTCATCCACTGCATTTATTTTTGTGTTCTTGTCCCCTTGCTACATATGTCTGGGCTCTCATCACACCTTCTTCTGCATCATAGAATATGTGCTGTGTCCTGGTTTCGGCTGGGGTAGGGTTAAATTTCTTGCTAGTGCTGTGTTTTGGATTTAGTATGAGGAGAATGTTGATAACACACTGATGTTTTCAGTTGTTGCTAAGTACCCTCCTAGTCCAAGGACAGCTCCCATGCCTACTGACTGGGCTGGATACACAAGATGGGAGGGAACATAATCAGGACAGCCAGCTCAGCTGGCTAATGGGGTATTCCATACCATGTGACATCATGCTCAGTATATGAATGGTAGGCGTGATCCAGGAAGTAGCGATCGCTACCTGGTTATCGGTCAGCGCGGGTGGTGAGCAATTGCATTGTGCATCACTGATTTTGTATATTTTATCATTAGAATTATTATTCTCCCTTTTGTGTTTTATTAAACTGTCTTTATCTCAACCCCCGAGTTTTTCTCACTCTCACCCTTCCGATTCTCTCCCCGTCCCACTGGGGGTGGGGGGAGTGAGCGAGCGGCTGCGTGGTAGTTGGCTGCCTGCCAGATTAAACCACAACGCCTTACTTCACAATCTTACTCATCTTTTGTGACTTCACGAACCACTTAGTTCTTAGCTGCGAAGATCATCACTCATATGTCATGTTCCACGCTGCAGTTTTGGTTCACACTTGTGACGTAGCATGAAAATTTCACCTTTACTTTCACCTAAGCATTTCACTGACTGGTCAAAGTGGACTGGGAATACCTTGCTGATATGGTTTGTCCTGTGCCCTTTCGTAGAGTGTGAAGCGCACTCATTATTATCTCTTCCCAAAAATCTGCCTGTAATTTCTCTTTCTTGCCCAGTTCTTTTTTTCTCACATATCTTGTAGTTTCTTTTGCCTCTGGGGAAAGGGAAGGAAGGTATTCTGAACAGCTGATTCTCTGAATACCTTCATAACTTCTTTCATCTCTGAATTCCATGAAGGTATGGAATTAAAAGCCATGAAGGAGGTGTTTCTCCTCCAGTCAGCCAGTCAACTGAAACTGTTCTCATCAGGCTCTTCACCGAGTGAAGAATCATTTCCAGTACAGTCAGCCATATCCTTCTTTAAATTTTGCCCTGCCCTATCTCCTAGTTCTGTGTTCTCTCCAGTTTCCTATCAGGCTCCTTGAAGTGCTTCAGTATGTCCTATTGGGAATCATCGTCCAATCTTCTTCAGAGCTCCAGAGGGCTTGTGCCTTGGTCCCCTTCTCTTTTTGCCTCTGTTATTTCTGCGTTCTGCAAATTCTTCTGCTGTGTATCCAGTTTCCAGTTGCATGTTTCTGCTGCCTCCTTTGCAGCAGACCTAATACTTTAGGGACTGTATAATAATTAGGATCAACTTCATGAACCAATGGAAGACTGAGCTTGCTTTAAATTTGGTACAAAGGAAGAGTGGAAACAGTGGGACAGGATTGTCGCTTGTGGCAGCAGCCTGTGGGTGGGCTGGATTAAGTTTATCAAACTGTGCCCCAGACCAAAGCTTTTTTCATTCCCTGTACACAGCTGAAATTGGCACTGTTAAGTGCAATGCGATGTCATTTCCTTTGACCTTGATAAATGCAATTTCTTATCCATTTGAAAAACTGCAAAGATCTCTTTCCTCATTTGTTGCCTATCACCCCACTGTAATCCTTCCTGGTATTACGCTGCCCTAAGCTTATCTACTGCCTCCTCTTCTTTGAGCTCAAACCTATCACCAGTTTTCTGTCAATCTACTCTCATTAAAACTTTAACCTTTCACAGAGATTAGCCTCCTCTGGTTATTGTGGGTGTTTTGAACAAACAGCTTTGTACCTTTCTCTGATGCTGCCACTATTGGTTCAGCAAGCTCGTGGTGACCATTTCTAAAACTGCGGCGTTACCTTTCAGACTTCAGTGGTCATAATCGCTTGATTAAAGGTACTGTCTAGTGTGCTGATCAACATTGATTTCATTTCCTTTAACCCACTTCTAGTAAGTTGTTCAATGTAGGATTTTTAGTGGCTTGGGGGGGGCGGGGG